CACTACCACTGTCACCACCACCACCAGCAAGAACAAAACACAGCACTTGAGTGACAGGAACCTCCTCAAAGGCTAGCAGAGGGGAAGAACCTGTCTGGCCAACTATAGGGCATGGGTTATAGTGGCCTTTATTGGCACCAGCGGAAGGAAAGCACAGAGACACGCACCTGCTCATACGTCCACGTTATCACTGTAACTAGGCCGGATCGGTCATACCCTCCATCTAATCTGTCCCCTCATTTTGGTCAAAACAAAGAAGCCTAACCTACGGGTGGGCAGTGCTCACTGAGAGTGTTATCCCTTCTTATTCCAATACTTAACAGTAGCTCTGGGGCTCTACCATCTCCCTGTTCTTGGGACCCTATTCCTAGTGCAGACCTTTCAATTGGGAGACCTGGGTCTGTCACGGCTTTTCGGAATTACAGCACTAATGATAATAGCAATGATGGTGAGAATGACTGTAGTTAACTTTCACAGGTCACTCTCTCTGTGACAGGTTCTAAGATGAAGACTTAACATTGGTTATCTCCTCTGATTTCCAAGTCCTAGTAGAACTGTTTCAGTTATTTATTGCTGCCTAACAATTTTCCGCAAAACTTACTTTAAAACAACACACATTTATTATCTCACAATTGCTGTGGGTCAGGAATGTGCACATGACTTAACTGGGTCCCCTACTTCCAGTCAAGGTGCTGCTTGGGAATGTAGTCTTCTTGAGGCTCAAGTGGGCAAGGACTTGATTCCAAGGTCATGTGCTCACTGATAGGATGGAGTTCCTCATGGGCTGGCTGATGAACTAAGGGCCTCAGTTCTTCGCTGAGGGTTGGCCAGAACCTGCCTCTGTTCCTTGCCACATGGGTCTCTCTTATATGGCTGCTTTCTTCTTCAAAGGGTGGAACTAAGAGGGCAATAGAGAGAGTCTGCCGACAAGATGGAAATCACAATCTGTTGTAACCTAATCATGGCAGTGATGTCCCATCACCTTTGTCATATTCTATCATTTAGAATCAAGCCACTAGGTTCAGCCTACACTCAAGGGGAGGGGATTATGTACACAAGAGTGTGGATCCCAGGGAGCATGGATTATTAGGGATCATCTTAGAAACCTGCCCCCCTCAAGGCCACCCGGGGAAGGAGGGAGAAAGAATTGCCTTGGGATTGCAAAGATGTCATTAAGACTAGAAGAAGGTTGGTTCCATATCTTGGCTATTGTAAACAGAGCTGTGATGAACATGGGAGTGCAGGTATCTCTTCAACATGACGATTTCCATTCCTCTGGATATATATCCAGAAGAGGGATTGCTGGATCATATGCAAGATCTATCTGTAATTGTTTGAGAAAACTCCATACTGTTTTCCATAGTGGAAATTTACAGTCCCACCAACAGTGTAGGAGCATTCCCTTCTCTCCACACCCTCGCCAGCATTTATTATTCACCATCTTTTTGATTATAGCCAGTCTAACTGGAGTGAGGTGGTATCTCAATTTGGTTTTCATTTGCATTTTCCTGATGACTAGTGATGTTGAGCATTTTTTCATGTACCTGTTGGCCATTTGTATGTCTTCCTTTGAAAAATGTCTGTGCAGCTCCTTTGCCCATTTTTTAACTGGGTCATTTGTTTTTTTACTGTATAATTGCTTGAGTTCTATGTATATTCTGGATATTAATCCCTTGTCAGATGCATAGTTGACAAAAATTTTCTCCCACTCTGTAGGTTGTCTTTTTACTCTGTTGATTGTTTCCATTGCTGTGCAGAAACTCTTTAGTTTGGTATAGTCCAATTTGTTTATTTTTTCTTTTGCTGCTTGTGCTTTCGGGTTCATGTTCATAAAGCCTGTGCCCTGACCTGACTGCTGAACTGTCCATCAATGGAAGACTGGATAAGGACACTGTGGTATGTATACACCATGGAATACTACTCTGCCATAAAAAAGAATGAAATACTCCCATTGTGACAACATGGATGAACCTGGAGAAACTTATGCTGAGTGAAATAAACAAAGCACAGAGGGATAAATACCTCATGTGCTCACTCATATGTGGGAGCTAAGAGAGAAAGAAAGGAAGGAAAGAAAGATCACAGTAGTGCCATGGACTTACAGAGGGAGGGATCATTCCTAGGGCTACAAAATGGAGTGAGGGGGAGAGGGGGAGGGGGAGGGAGGT